TTTTGTTTTATTTAATTGGTTTCGCTTCATAGTTTGAATAACTGTTTGCTGTGCGCTCTCTGTATTTCGACAAAGTTGTGAAATGTTTCCATCTTGAACTCCCAGTTTCGATTATCTCCGAAATGCAGTTGGGCAGGATAACAAAACTGACTAAACATAAAAATTCTATTACTTCACCAACATAATTAAATATTACCCCGCAATGCCCGTATCTCAAATCAAGCGACTATAAAAGGAGTGTTTTGAATTGATTAATTAAAGAGCAATTTCTTTTTATTAAAAATATGGACCCTATCATTAGTTTGGTTAGCCCATATGATTGATATTATGAGAACTCTGGTATTTCTGATGCAGCCCGCAGCAAAATCTTGAAATGTGATTAGTATTATACTCCCTCCGCCCCACAAAGCTTCTACAAATTTGCTTATTTAACTGTGCCAAAAAACTTTGTGATTTCCATTTAAAACAATATCTATGTAGTTAAAATTATTTCTTTTTCCTTTGCACAAATCTCAACCACACGGTTTTTTTTTTGGGACCGTGGGAGTATTAAATTATAGATAGTACTTTGTATGAAGCACAAAACCAATAACCTTACAATAATCCCAAAAACATTGGATTGGCCCTTTCATTTACATAAAGAAGAGCTTGCGCGGTATTCTTGTCAGCTTTCAGCTCTCAGCCTTTTGTTTTTACGCTTCTAAAAGGTCTCTGAATTACGTTGTATAATTAACTAAAATGTAGTCATACTTATACTAATCATACTAAATTCAAAAATTGTTAACAAGAAACATAAAACAGACTTTTCTGCTATTTAAAATTATGTTTTTAGTTTTCAAAAAAGCATTGAAAGATGAGTCCAAGTATAAAGTACTGGTTTGGAATATTTCCTTAGGATATCAATGACAATTCTTCTGCAAGATTGATTAATGGAATTACTATTTCATGGGATCGATTCTAATTGGATTCCAATTGTAACTTCTTCTCTTATTCACAATGCTCTACAGGATTACGTTCCCACTGTATTTGACAATTTCAGTGCCAATGTGGTTGTCAATGGGGCTACAGTTAATCTTGGGTTGTGGGATACTGCTGGTAACTATTTTAAAAGGCATTTGATTTGAATTTCATCTTCAATCCGTGAATGTATGAAGTGCTGTGCTATTCATAAATCACAAATCATAATATCTACCAAACATGCAAAGTAGACTATACTATCTATGTAGTCCACATAAGTGAGCTGAATAAGTTTTACTAGATGGGAAGTCATGGGCCTATGCTCTTGAACATTTCAGTTTACAGTGTCTTATAGTTATTTATCTATGCTATCTAATCGCTGAGTACACATCGAGTATTCACTAACTCAGTGTTGGGACTTGCCGATTAGTACTTTGACTTGCACTGTTCATTTTTCGAGTAACTCGCTGAGCGTTCGGCATTTTTCTCTACTCTGTGACAAAGTTGACTCGCTGAGTTACTCGGCAAACAGTAAACTAATTTAAGATATTATCGAATTTATGAGTAATTAGTAGGTAGTTTAAAAATTGGAAAAATAAGATTAGTCAGTCTAGGTTGAAGGACATGGAAGATGAAGAACAAAATGACGACCTTGAACCCAATGAAGATTAGTTTCGGATAAAAGTTCAGAATTAAGTATTATTAGGGCATTGATTTTCTTGGAAGTTAGAATCTTAATGATTGTTGCAATTTATTGCTACTTCATTATTATGATTATAATTATTGTATTCACTTATGTATTACTCCAATGTTGGAGCATTTTAAATTTAATTAATACATGGCCGAGTAATTACCGAGTAATAGGTCCTACTCGCTACTTGGCCCCTGACCTCATCACCACCGAGTAGCAATTACACTACTTGGTTTATTAATATAGGTTTAATCTTGTTATTCATAAACAGGGCAGGAGGATTATAACAGATTAAGACCACTGAGTTATCGTGGAGCTGATGTTTTCATTTTGGCATTTTCTCTCATTAGTAAAGCCAGCTATGAAAATGTTTCAAAAAAGGTGAGGACTTAATATCTGCATAAAGTTGTATCCTTTCCTCTCATTTATTCCTGTTTGTCTATCGTGCTTGAAACTTAATTTGATCATTGATAAATCTCTTTCCAGTGGATCCCTGAATTGAAGCATTATGCGCCTGGTGTTCCAATAGTTCTTGTTGGAACAAAACTTGGTGAGAAATACATTCTTCATTCTTGGAACAAAAGTATTAGATACGTTTGTTTGGCATGTTAATTGGATATACAATGCCACTTCAGATTACCAGAATTTTCTTGACAATTCATATACATGCCTCTTTGACCATAGATGCTTTTATTTTCATTTCTTCATGTGGTGTCTAGGGGACCAAACCAGGCTAGGCTGCTAGTCTAGTACAAAGATTATTTTGAAGAAATTTTAACACAATTTTTTTACACTAATATTTAATCATATTTTTTTAATTTGGGGTGGGCCAAGGCCTAGCGTGGCCCCTTGCTAGCTCCACCCATGTGTCATAGCATGTTTTCACTTTTCATTCCAAGACCCCGAAGCTATGTTAGCTCTAAATCAAGGACATTTAAGATTAAAACTATCAATTTAGGGATGGAATGACTGAAAACTACCGATTTAAGACTTATTTTGTTTTCATACCTTTTATTTCCTGAATCTTATTTTGTTTTCATGTCAATGTTCCTTCACAAAAAAAATTTAAGTTTTAACAATTTAAAAAATATTTTTTCCGTCCCTCAAAACTTTGCCAAGTATGACTGACACAAGAAATTATAAAGTAAAAACTGTGTGGTTGAGATTTGTGCAGAGGAGAGAGAAATAATAAGAACCACAAATCATTGACTAAAAGGGAAAACATAAAAAAATTTGGGACATCCAAAAAGCGAAAAGATGGCAAAGTTATAAGGGACAGAGGGAGTATTAAAATAAATTAAAATGTAAAAAACAAAATTTTATGATATTTTAAGCCGTTGATTCACTTGATTGGTAGTTTTGCATTAGTCTGGCCTTAGATCGATAGCTTTCATCTTCAAGTTCCTTGATAATTGCATATCTTTTGGGTCCTGGATTTGAATTTTTTTCTACAAGGTCCTTGATTTATTTTACTGTACTTGAAGGAATCGATCTTTGCTCCATATTTTTGTTTGATCTTTGAGTGCTTATTGTTGTTGTTTGCTATAATCCTACTATATATTGTACTCAGATCTTCGCGATGATAGCCAGTTCTTTGCAGACCATCCTGGTGCTGTCCCAATTACTACTGCTCAGGTAAGTTGTTAAGTTGTATCGAATGAGGAGGGAAATTATGTACATCTATGATCTCTATAATTGTGTTATTTGGTTTCCATGTAGGGGGAAGAGCTCAGGAAATTGATCGATGCCCCAGCTTACATTGAATGCAGTTCAAAGACACAGCAGGTTTGTTTTCTTTCGGCATTTTATTTTCACTGAAGCTGTTTGTGGACCATCATCACTGTAGCTTTGGTCGGGTTATTCTTTGTTGCAGAATGTGAAAGCAGTGTTTGATGCTGCCATTAAAGTTGTGCTTCAACCACCCAAGCAGAAGAAAAAGAAGGGAAAATCTCATAAGGGCTGCTCCATTTTGTGATTCACATAAATAGGTCCATGAATGCCGCTACCATCTATGTATGCCCCATCCCCTTTTCGTTTTCCTTTATTTCAGTGGAAAAAGGAGGTGCGTGCGTGTCAGATGAAGCTCGTATGCTGTAAGTGTCCTAAGTTTCAGCGGGGCTAGGTGTGGTGTATCCATGTTGCAGGGATGTTGGCTCTTTTAGGCCATTTTTATTTTTTTGTTATGATTTAATGATAAACATTTAGGGTAGTGATGTCGCCTTCAAATGTGTTGCTTTCTAGCAATCAGTTTGTGGGTTATTGTCTGAACGGTTGGCCAAATGTTGCATCAGCCTTATTTAAAAGTTGAGTCATTAGGCAGTCTTTTGTTTACACTTTCTGGCATTAGAACATTTTCTTGGGGGGGTAGTGAAAGTACTATGATGTGCATTGAGTTCCTGTATAAAAGTATTAGATACTCATTTTCTTTTTATGATGATATGGGAGCCACCATCAACTACATGAAAATAAACACTAGGTTGTATTTACCTCTTGTAGTTCTAGATGGGAAAGGGCCACAAGTAAAGCAACCTACGGTAGACATAGCTGACTGGCTCGAATCAGCAAGGTCTCCAATAGGGAGCTCAAAAAGGAATCAAGCTAACAAACTCACAATTGCTAGCTTCATACCTGGCCAAGGTGGTTAAGAACCTTAAGGTGCATTAAGAGCAGTTATCTTTGTAAATTATCCCTCTAAATGTAGAAATAATAAGTAAATAAAAAGCAATATCGCCCCTTCCCTCAATTCACTCACCTTGGAAACCCCCAAACCCCACAATCCCGAGATTGAGAATGTAGAACTCACATAACTGTTTGCACAATTTACATTCTACTTTGCGGTTTATTTTTAAGCAATCGGTTCTGTACCCTACACTATTCAACCTTGTTTCCTTCCACCATGTTCTATCTTGCTTTTGTGGCAGACACTATTATGGATTGAGGATTTATTCATTGGTATCCTGGTCCTATATTAAGTGAATTTTACTACCATTTAATGTGAATCTGATTTTGTGTATTTATTTATTTGGTCTAGTGTGATCTGTGGTACGTTCAAGTCGGTCTGGTGTGAGCTGAAAAAAGTCATGAGGGTTGTTCTTCAAAACTATGTTCAAGTCCTGACTTTTTTGTATCCAGCTGTCCGAAGTGGGAACATAACAAAGAACACTAGATTGAAATGGCAATCAACTGCCACCCAAGATCTGAGAGTTCACATTATATTGGACTTGGAGTCGTGTATCTACTGTTAGGTTATTAAAAAACATTGGTTTTATCAAGCAGTCACTAATCTCACCAACTTAAAGATGGATTTGTGGTTGGCATCATCATGGTGATGGTATATTAAACCAATGGGAAGTAGGAATGGAATTAACTAAATGGATCAGTAATGATGGATCACAACATTATTATACGATTGATTAGTGAATCCAACTATACAGCCAATACTATACTGTATCAGGATGATTTGGATTGCGTTAATTGCAGCAGCAGATTGTATGCATAATTGAGGATGACTTTATCTCGAACGACCCTGTCATATATGAAAGCGGCTCCCCTGAAGTAAGGCAGAACCATCCACGCAACCAACACTAACTTCACATCATACCAAATTGGTATCCTGCATTATAATAATTTATTACTAAAAACAAATAAAAACTGAATTCAATTATTTATGTTTTACAAATTTTATACATAATCTCTACGACTTCTATTCTTTTTCTTATATGTAAAAATAAATTCATTTAAGTAATAGTGTTGGAGTACAAGTTAAGTATTTCGTAAACTTACCATTCAAGTATTGGTTGGAAGAGCATTTCAATGAAAAATAGGAAAGCCAACATTATCCAATACGCGAGCCATTGCTCACTGTCCAACTTCGACGACTTCTCCGTAGCAACAATGGATGCATATCTGTTTTGTTTTATATATATATATATATATAAGGAGTGATTATTTAGTTAATTAATAACTTGTAAATATACAAGAAATAAACTGCATGGAACTCAACATTTTTTAGCTGATAATATAAGCTGTACAAAATTTATCATAAAAAATACTACGGTATTCTTTTTTCCCTGCTTTAAGTTAATTTTCACATTCCATTCAAGGAAAATATTTTGTGGCTAATATGGGCTTTCTTTTCCCATAAATAAGTTTTAATTAATTAGAAAGCTTTTATTCAATAAATAACGTGCATGCCAAGTCAAATTAAGAATTTTTATTGAAAAAAATGGAGCATTGAATTTAAAATAGCAAGAGGAGATTAAAATGTCAAAAATGAATTTACTTGGGCCACTTACAGAGGATAGATGAACATGGTAACAGGCCTGCATTTTGAATGGTAAATAATGTGGAGTGAGAAACTGAGAGGAGGAAAATAACAATAATGTTTTTAAACGCATGTTCGCTTTAAATAATTAATAATTAATTACCCTGCAAATGCATGAAGATGGGTAGTCAAAGCCCATAATAAGCCCATAGTATATGGAGATCAGAAGTAATTAATGGAGGAGGTTATGAAGAGAAAATATTAGACTGTTATGATTTTAATGATGATTCACAACTTTTTTTATATATATAATGAGGAGTACAAGAGGCATCAGATTCCAACTTGGCTCTCTAGCTTTTCTCACCTTCCGTCAAATCTATATTCTTTAATTTCCTGACCATTTATGTTACTTAACGTCTAATCTTGATTATTATAGGCACTAATAAACAAGGAGCGTGATGTTGCATTAAGGGGTTAAGAACATAAATATGATTTGTAATTAAGGTGGATCAAGAAAGGTATTACCATTACTAATCCGTATAATATAATCTTCGGGTATTAGCCCTAAATAGGAGTAAAATAAGCTCAAAATTCACCAGTAGGAGTACAATCCTTTTATTCCCAAAATAGGACTAATATATATATCTCTTCTTCCCATTCTACCCCCTTCCTATAATTTCCAATAGATTTATTTTATTAATAAGAAAATCATAGTTTTATTTATAAAAAAATAATAAAATATTTATAAAATAATAATGAAAACGTGAAAAAATATAATAAAAAATAAACAAATTAAAAATAATAAATAAATTATTTAAAATTTTTTTAAAAAGTCCAAAAATAAAATAAAACACCTAAAAATATTTAAAAAAAATGTACGTCACTGCCAACGTGCCCTCTACCTCCCAGCACCACCGACTCCGGTCGCCGGAAAAAAATGTCATCTTGTGTAAAAAATGCCACATTTATCTGAAAATGCCATAAAGATGGCATTTTTACTCTTTGAAAATATCCACCTTTCTCTTGCTCTCTTCAAAATTGCCATCATGATGATATTTTTTCCCCAACATGGCAATCTTTTCCGGAGACCGGAGGTGGCGGTGCTGGAAGGTGGTTGAGGTGGTGGTTGAGGTCTATATATTTTTTAATTATTTTTTACGATTTTTTTTTATATTTTATAATGATTGTTTAAAATTCCTATTATCAAGGACAAAGGAAAGAGTAGAATAGGAAGAGTTAGTCCTATTTTGGGAATTTAAACTTTAAACTCCTATTGTTGCAATTATCCTTTTATTTACTCATATTTAGGTAAATATCTCTATAATCTTTTGTTACGTTTCTGGGTTGTGAACCTTTCTTTTTGCGAAAAATGCATTTTCTTAAATAAAAGCAAGCAAAAGTACATGAGAGGAAAGAAAACATGAAAGAAAAGATAAATAATGAGAACAAACAAAAAAGAAACCAATAAGAAAATATCCAACCCGGTCAAAGCCAATCCCTATCTAGATAATCCCGAGCCCTCAAACAATTCTTCAAAGCCCTGTTCGTGATTGCGATCTTTTTTCATAAGATGCGATCGTTGATTATTTTTTCTGAACATTCTTTTTTGAGTGTTCAAATTTTGTGTAGATAAGCAATTATCTCGTGTAACCCTTAAAGCTTTGACACATATATCTTCATTCGCATCAGAATCCCATAAATCATCACAACCTAGAATTTCCAAGGGAGGACATAAATAATCTAGGGCACCACTTCCAAGGGGGCATCAATTTATTATAAATATACGGACTTATTAAGGAATTAGATTAGATGATTAGATCTGCCCATTGCGGCAATTCAATAGCGGCCAGAATTAGTGCACTACGGAAGTTCAATAGTCAAAGTCTACAAAGGTCAAATCAAATTAAATAAAGTGGCACGCTTATTAAGAAAGTGGAATAAAGTGGAAATATATGGTTGTGGTTGTGTAAGAAAAAAGTAAAATGAATGTGAGCCACACAAATTGTCCAAAATGGGAAAGTGGGAAGTATTTTTAAGAACAGCCCAAAAAAGAAAGTGAGAAGTATTTTTGAGAACGGAGGGAGTACTCCGTAATATAGATAGTATTACGTTCGTATAAAATAGTACTCCCTCTGTCTCATATTTATCTTCTGAAGTACAAATGACACACAGATTAAGATAGTGAGAAATGTGTGGTGGAGAGTTGTGCAGAGGAAAGAGAAATGTGTAAGAATGTGTAAGAATGGTTGTGAACCACAAGTTCTTTGCTAAAAAGGGAAAGGGGGGATAAATTGGGACAGACCGAAAAGGAAAGTATGAAGATAATTCCGGAACGAATTATCAGTCTGTCAGCATAATGCACAAATTATCAGTCTGTCAGCATGTTGCCTGGCCGGATGGCCCAATAGGAATTAGGAAGGAATAGAATGTACTCTATTACCCTCGACCCAAATAGCCTAGACACCTAGTTACCCTATTAAGTTAAATAAATCAAAATTGCTCTTTGTACACACGATTGTACACTCAATGTACACACTACTTAAACCCAAAAAAATTTACCCCCCTCACTCCCCCACCCGACCCACGCTTCTCACTCGCTCCCCACTCGGCCACTCCTTTCTCTTCTTCCCTTCAACGAAATCAACAAACAAGCTTCCACCTTCATCAACCTTCACAGAGCTTCCTCTTCGATGGATTTTCCGTACGACGACACGTTGGTGACTAACTTCGACGATTTTGGGGCTTCATGGAATGAGAATCCCGGAGGCAGTGAAGTTGGGATGTCTTCCGGAGCTGGAGAAATTCAAGGACAGACGGCCGGAGCTGGAGAAGGTGACGGGATGACGGATGGAGGCGGAGAGGGGTCTGGAGATAACACCGGAGTTGGAGATGTTGTTGGACGCACTCTTGGAGCCGGAGAAGATGACGATCACACGAACCTAGCCGGGGTAGATGAAGGGCTGACGTCGCCGGCGGCCATGGACGTCGTTTCTGACCTTGGTATAGTGACGTAATCTTCTTGAACGTTGATATACGTTTACTCTCACAGGCATGTTGTTAGAGGTGGAAGTTGTTTATGTGTTAATTTATTTGTTTATGTGAGTTTTAGTGGGTTTATGCTTGTTTATGTGGGTTGTTAGTGTTTGCAGAATGTCATAAACATGTTTGTTTGTGTAGTATTCAACGTGTCTGTGACACATAAGCATGCATACGTTTGGTGACACATGCAAGTCGTAGGAGTTGTCACTTGTTTATGTGTGTGTTTGTTTGTGTATGAAGACAGTGGAAGATTTATTTGTTTGTGTAGTATTTCAACTAGTCTGTGAAAGATTTGAATTGTCTGTGTGCATATATCACTGTGTGTGTGATATTGTAAGTTGGTTAGAACACATTAATAAATGAATCATGTAACATAACAGATGGAGAGCTGCCAAAACAGAATGAAGTTGGTCAAGATCCGGAAGTTGGTATGGAGTTTGAAAGTAGGAAGCAGTCTATGATTTTTACAAAGCATACGGGAAGCGTTTGGGATTTCCTATAAGAACTAGGAGCACAACTAAAGACAAAAGAGGAGAACATATTGTGTCAATTCTACTAGAATGTTCGCGGGCTGGTCGAAGATGTAGTCAGTCCAAAAATCAATTGAAGCCCCAACCTTCAATGCAAATAGGGTGTGAAGCTAGACTACGAGCGCACGCAAATTATGCGGGAATTTGGCAAATTTCAAGTCTTTTTACAACATTCACATCCTATGAGTCCAACAAAGGCTCGCCTATTCCGATGCAATCGGAAGTTAACTCATGGAATGGCGAGGAAACTTGCAATAAATGATGTTGCGGGAATACGACTTAATAAAAGCTTCACCGCGGCCGTTGTTGAGGCCGGTGGGTATGATCAACTTCCCTTCATTGAAAAAGATTGTAGGAACTATATAGATAATGTTAGAAAACTTAGGTTAGGTAGTGGGGATGCAATTGCCATTCAAGGGTTCTTCGCTAAAATGCAAGCTCAATGCCCCGGATTTTTCTTTGCACTTGACTTAGATGAGGAGTCAAGACTGTGTAATGTCTTTTGGGCCGACAATAGGTGTAGATATGCGTACAAAGAATTTGGAGATGTCATAACGTTTGACACGACCTACCTTACAAATCGGTATGACATGCCATTTGCACCATTTGTCGGCGTAAATCATCACGGGCAATCAATGCTACTAGGATGTGGATTAGTCTCTAATGAAGATACACAAACCTTTCTGTGGTTGTTTAAAGCATGGCTTGAATGTATGGATGGCATTGCTCCAATTGGGATTATTACCGACCAAGATCGTGCTATCCAAAACGCCATTGCACTTGTTTTCCCAAACACGAACCACCGATGGTGTTTATGGCACATCATGAAAAAGGTACCCGAAAAACTCGGAGGGGATGCACAAAAAGATGAAATATTGAATGTTTTGCATGACTGCATTTATGATTCCCAATACACCCAAGAGTTTGAGGAGAAATGGGTTGACATGGTTCAAAGGTATGAATTTGTATGCTTAATTTTGTGTACTATCAGTAAGTTTTCTGGCTCATAGACATGTGTATCGGTCATAGACAATAAATTTTGTAGTTCACAGTTGATGGATAGTATACCCGGGGGTATATACCCGAAGGGTTATTGCAGGGAATAATTTAGAGAGAAGTCAGAGTAAGCAAGTAAATGTAGAGAGAGAGTGTATTCAGTATGAATGTCGTGGTTACAAATGGGGAAATGGGGTGCTATTTATAGTAGCAATAAATGCCGGACAGGGACACGTGTCAAGCGCTCATTGGCCGAGGGGTCACCTCAACTGGTTGGCGCTGGCAGCCGCATGTGGCCGCATTTAATGCGGCTGTTGGATGGGACGTCTGTGCAGGGTACGGTGATCTGTACGCATGTGATGCGGATATCTTGTCGAGTGAGATGCCTTCGGCTATAGAGCAGTAGCCGAGGGCTCCTCCAACCGATGGCACTCTGGTGCCGAGGGCTCACAGTGCTGAGGGCTACTGTTTTCGCTGTTTTCTCCCAGTTTCTTAATTTGCTTGAGAAACCCGTTCTGTGAGAGTTTAGAGCCTTCGGCCGGGGGGCCGAAGGCACCCCTGGCGCGTAGTGCGGGCTGCTTGGTACTCTGGGCGCAGTGATTTGGGCCTGCTAGGCCTTCTGGGCCCGTTGGGCCTTCGCTGGAGTAGTAGGAGTCTGTGGGCCGGGGGTTCCCGGGCCATATACTCCATCAGGAGTCCTTCACTCCTTTTTCCGAAAGGTACTTGAGGGAAAAGGAGTAATT